TTTTGGGGGGATTTTTTGGAGAAATTTGGAATTTCCTGGAATTTTGGGGATTTTTTGGGGGGAATTGCTGATTTTGGGGGGATTTTCGGAAGATTTTTGGATTTTGGGAGAATTTTTGGGGAAATTCCTGAATTTTGGGGAGAATTCCTGATTTTTTGGATGAATTTGGGGGATTTTTGAGTTTTTGAGAGATTTTGGGGAAAATTTTTGGATTTTTGGGAGATTTTGGGTGAATTTTGGGGGCAATTTATGAATTTGGGGTGGATTTGGGGAAGAATTTTGGAATTTTGGGGCATTTCTTGAATTTTTGGGGAAATTTGGGGGATTTTTGGGAGGTTTTTTAAACTTTTGGGAAATTTGGGGGAGGTTCCTGAATTTGGGGATAATTTGGGATTTTTTGGGGGATAATTTGGGATATTTTTGGCGATAATTTGGGATATTTTGGGGATAATTTGGGATATTTTTGGCGATAATTTGGGATGTTTTTGGGGATATTTTGGGGATAATTTGGGATTTTTTTGGGGGGTGTTTTGGGGATAATTTGGGATATTTTTTGGGGATAATTTGGGATATTTTTGGGGATAATTTGGGATTTTTTTTGGGATATTTCGGGGATAATTTGGGACATTTTCGGGGGTTATTATGGGATTTTTTGGGGGATATTTTGGGGATAATTTGGGGACATTTTTGGGGATATTTTGGGATATTTTTGGGGGAGATTTTCGGGGGTTATTATGGGATGTTTCAGGGATATTTTGGGATATTTTGGGGATAATTTGGGACATTTTCGGGGGATATTATGGGATGTTTCAGGGATATTTTGGGGATATTTTTCGGGGATAATTTGGGATATTTTTGGGGATAATTTGGGATATTTTGGGGATAATTTGGGATATTTTGGGGATAATTTGGGATTTTTTTGGCGATAATTTGGGATTTTTTTGGGGATAATTTGGGATATTTTGGGGATATTTTTGGGGATAATTTGGGATATTTTTTGGGATAATTTGGGGTATTTTTTGGGATAATTTGGGATGTTTTTGGGGATATTTTGGGGATAATTTGGGATTTTTTTGGGGATAATTTGGGATATTTTTGGGACATGTTCGGGGGTTATTATGGGATGTTTCAGGGATGTTTTGGGGATATTTTTCGGGGATAATTTGGGATATTTTTGGGGATGTTTTGGGGATATTTTGGGATATTTTTGGGATATTTTCGGGGGTTATTATGGGATGTTTCAGGGATGTTTTGGGGATATTTTGGGGATATTTTTGGGGATAATTTGGGATATTTTTGGGATATTTTCGGGGGTTATTATGGGATGTTTCAGGGATGTTTTGGGGATATTTTGGGGATATTTTGGGGATATTTTGGGATATTTTCGGGGGTTATTATGGGATGTTTCAGGGATATTTTGGGGATATTTTTGGGATATTTTTGGGGATAATTTGGGATGTTTTTGGGGATATTTTGGGATATTTTTGGGGGATATTTCGGGGGTTATTATGGGATGTTTCCCCAGGTGAGGCCCCCCCCGCCGAGGTCGCCGTCGCCGTGCCGGGACCCGCCGGGGCCTTCGCCGAGGCCGGGCTGCAGTACCAGTTCAGGAGCGAGAGCAACGGCGGCCAGGTAACACCTGGGCACACCTGGGGGCACCTGGGGGCACCTGGGCACAGCTGGGGGCACCTGGGGGCACCTGGGAACTCACCTGGGCACACCTGGGCACACCTGGGCACACCTGGGAACTCACCTGGGCACACCTGGGGGCACCTGGGGGCACCTGGGGGCACCTGGGAACTCACCTGGGCACATCTGGGCACACCTGGGAACTCACCTGGGCACACCTGGGCACAGCTGGGAACTCACCTGGGGGCACCTGGGCACACCTGGGGGCACCTGGGAACTCACCTGGGGGCACCTGGGCACACCTGGGGGCACCTGGGCACAGCTGGGAACTCACCTGGGAACTCACCTGGGCACAGCTGGGGGCACCTGGGCACAGCTGGGAACTCACCTGGGGGCACCTGGGAACACCTGGGAACTCACCTGGGCACACCTGGGGGCACCTGGGGGCACCTGGGCATAGC